CATCCACATTTACATTTAGGGGATGGTACATTGGTAAAGTTGTGAGGGTAAAGTTGTGAGTGAAAGATCAGATCACAGCGCACCTTATTCAGGGAAATCTCAGAAGAACTTATGATGTTGGTTGTATGTAATATTCTTTTTAGATCTGATTTAAAATTGTTTAAGTTTGGTGATTCCTTGCGGTCAGGTTGAAGAAAATCAAAGTAAATGATGGATTAAAAGATGCACGATCTATTTGAAAATGTTGACATCTTCACTGGAATTTGGTAATCTTGGCTTTTTCCTGTTACTAAACTAGAAAGTTACTTCGTGTTGTAAAATTTTGTTATTTTCAATAAGGTTTGATTTGGAATATGGTTTTGAACGAGATGTATCGTCGGTGTAAATATAGTATTTGCTTGATAAAGTTTCCGGGATATCATTTATATATATCAGAAAAGGTAGAGGTCCCAAAATAGAGCCATGTGGAACGCCGGCATTTATATAATGTTCATCGCTTAAAACAGATTCTTGCAAGAATCACCTTGGCTTGTCTGTTTGAGGGATAAGATGTTAAAAGTGAAAGAATGCTAGGCCCAATTCCATAAGATTTCAGTTTTTGTAACATTAACGAATGAGGAACGGTATCAAACAAATCAAATGGTGTCAAACAAATCAAATAAACCCCCCTTACATTTCCCCCAGACTGTTTTTCATTAGTTACAAAATCAATAGTACTTAATGCTTAAATAATCCAAAGTATTATGTGACATTGTACTTTTTATGTTACACCTAAAAATGATTAATTTTGTTCATGGGGAAATCATAGTGGAGAGTGCGTGTGCACGTGCAAGTCATGAACATGTTTTGCTTTCATTATAACATCGTTGACTAGCGTACATTGATCATTGTATTTCTGAATGTATATACAGGGTGGGCCAAAAAATTTTGCAACTTTTTTAACATGCTAGAAAAGTATCATAACATGAAGGTATTGCCATAAAAAATTATCTACAGAAACTTTAGGATAGGCATATTTTTAAAATCTAAATACTAAAGCTAAACCTGACTTCATTAAATCTGCTACAATCTTAGATAACTGTTTAAAAAATGTCTAGTACAGGTTTATATTAGTATCTAGTCACTATGGTGTTATGTTATACTGTATCTCTACTAATTAAATATCAATTAAATGTTCTATGCATCCGCCTTTCACCTTTACTTTCGCTCCCACCCATCGGGCAAAAGTCTAGAGGAGAATACCCCTTGATTCATTAGTCATGATGAATGGCCACCAAATACACCAGATGCCTACCCCTGTGACTATCACACATGGGGGCACCTGGAGCAGCTTATTGCAGTTAGTGGTATTCCCCCACGAATTTTTGATCACTAAGTTCTGCAGAAGTAGAGAGAACTACCACAAGAATCGTTGGATCGCGCCATTGACCCGTTCCGCCTTTGTATTCTTGCGCTAGTGAAGGTGAAATGTAGATGCATAAGACATAATTTTGTTTAATAAATAATCAATAGATATGGTCTAACATTATATCATAATGACAAGATAGTGATATAAACCTGTACTAGACATAGGTTATACAGTTTTCCAAGATTGTAGCAGATTTGATGAACATAATGCATGTGTTATTGTTGATCACATAAACTCATAGAAAGTCACATTTTCTAGGAAAATGGTAAATCTTGGACACATGAACAATTGACCATTGATATTCGAAGATCTGACAAAAAATGTGAAGTCAGGTTTAAGCTTTAGTATTTGATTTGTAAAATATGCCTATCCTTAAGTTTCTGTAGATAACTTTTTATGGCAATATATTAATGTTATGATACTTTTATAGCCTTTTACAAAAGTTGCAAAATTTTTTGGCCCACCCTGTATATATGTATATATGAATGTATGTCAGGTTATAATTTTTCCTAAATTGATAATGGAGCTTATTCCTCTTATTTATCAGAGTTTTGATTTTGTTGTTAAACCAAGATTTGTTGGTAGTTTTGATTTTAATTACTGAATTTGGGATCAGGTCGGAGAAGATTGTAAATATATTATCACCAAGCTGTTCCAGAAGGTTAATATGTATATCATTTACTGATTCTATTAACTGTTCCAGATTTGCTTCGCAAAAGTGAAAAAGTATTAGTATTAACTAATGTTATGTCGGTTTTTGAATACTGCCGAACTCGCCTTGAAAATGACGCCTTTTTCAAATACCCAAGTTAGCAGCGACATTGAAAACATTAACCAGTAATCAGTTAAGTTATGTTTTAGTGGTGAGTCGACACTCTCACAACAATGATATTTGCAGAGAAGCTACTTTACAGTCTTTGCATTATACAGTATCAATATTTTTGTGGGAGTGTGTGCTGGTAGTTAATTTTTCAATGAAAGGGAATGATCACCATACTAAAACTTGGTGACAAAATGAACAAAAAAGGACAATGTTTTCCGGAATTGCTTAGATAAACTACATACATAACTAGATTTTGTCAACGTTCCACTCCGAATACTTGTTTGCCATATGTTCCATATAATAAATTCTATTTAATGATAACCTTTGATATTATTTTGATGGTGAACGCAGTTTGTACCTATATTCATACAGCCTCAGGAAAGGGATTCTAACTGCAAATTTTCCAAAGAAAATAAAAACTAACTCGCACATCTCAAGAAAAAGGTTTATCTACAACATGCCATCGGTTTTAAAAGTAAACGAAAGAATGAGCTTTTCGGAAAAAGCCCACGTGGACCAATAGTCCTTTAAATGGACCCTCTTATTTATATGCTGATGTCGAAGGACACGTAAATACCAGTGAACTCAAATACCAGTGAACGGATTCAAATTTTGATGTTTTGATGTTGATGGCAATGGACAAATGAGCTCTGTTGAAAAAGACATATTCAAGATGGCCATTGAATTTCAAAATTGCCGCCATTGACAGATTTAATTCACATTTTGCATGTTGATGCCAAGGGACAAAGGCGCTCTGCTCTAAGAAGACATTTTCAAGATGGCCACTGAATTCCAAGTGGCCATCATTTCAAAAATGTAATCGTTGATAACTCAACTACCAGTAGACAAATATGGTTCAAATGTTCTATGCTAATGTTTAGCGACAAACAAGCTCAGCTCAAGAAGGAATATTAAAAATGACGAAATAATTTTAAAAATGGTTACCCGATGCTTTGTTAAAAATATAATCTTTGAAAACTCAAATATCAGTGGATAGATTTGGTTCAAATTTTATATACTGATACTGTAAGACAAAGCAGGTTCGCTCAAGAATATGTTACCGCTATCATCAAATTGACCGCTTGTTGTCATTAAAAATGTTATCTTTGAGAACTCGAATACCATTAGAACATTGCAACTGAATTTCAAAATGGCTCCCATTTTTTGGACAGATTTATTTTTGGACAACGGAGAAGAAATTGTCAAGATGGCAGCTGAATGGCTGCTTTTGCCAGAAGTACATAATATTTGATCACTCAAATACCAATGGATGGACTTGGTTCAAACTTTATAAACTGATATATACATGTTGGCTAATAGTAGTTGTTGGTATATATCTAATGATCAGTCAATCACATTATATTGTCATTATATGCCATGTAAAATTTGCATTGTATGTTATTGTAATTGTATGTATAGTTTAATTTTTATTTTATCATGTTTATTTGCTGTACACTCACCCGAAAGGGATTTTTAGTACAATAAAGCATTGAATAATATACTCTGTTCAAAATTCTCGAGATGTTTTTATAGGTGGGATATGCTTCTTCTTGGAGTTACTGTTTTCTAGTTCTTGATTCAGACATTAAAAAGACATTGTACTTGAAATGACTTCAGTGTTTGTAATGAATTTGGAAAAACTAGTATACATTCAATTTGCTGTTTTCTCGCTTTCCTCCAAATTATTTTTATTCAAATCTCAGCTTAGCAAAACGTTCAATATATTTGCCTTGCAAATTCAATTTTCTACCTGACTTGTATATTTTCGAGTACTCGGATGGATGGATATTCTGTCAAATGACTAACCTATCAGTTCCCCTTGTTTAACATGGGAATTTTGATTTTCTAAGGTTCATCAGATTTGTCACCAATATCCGGCTTATTGTTATTGTTGAAAGAAATTGAGAAAGGTTGAACGAATTCAAAATGATGTCAATTGATATTTCAAGCCCCGAAAATAGTATTTTCTCAACAGACTATGCAAATAAAAATTCAAACATAAATAGGCCTTAGCACGTGATCCAATGGGGAAATTAGGGTTGCAAACCTATGGAGGGGAGTGTATGACTGTTTAAATCATTTGTCATACTACAGTATACCTAGTCCTTTAGGCTAATTATTCAATAACGTCTGAAAAATATATTTCTTGTAAAGTCTAGGTAGATACAAAGTGTACAAATGCCTTGTGATATAAATGTTCATGATATTTAATCTGTTTATAGCTACAAGTGTACAGTCTATTTCATATTAACAAGGTTCATATTTCTTTTGATATAATACAGGTCCAATAATCTAGTTTTAGATCTATGTTATACTAGATTCTTCATTTTGCATTGATACATTTATTCTTACAAGTATACAGTCAATTTCATATTAACAAGGTACTTTCGACTTTCGTCTTTCCAGTGTTAGAGTCGTCCTGCGAGTCCATAATAATTTCATTTGACTCTTACTAGAGGAACAATTGAAACTTCTTATTCCTTTAAATATACTTTACATAAATGTTCATGTTCATGTTCATGATATTTAATCTGTTTATAGCTACAAGTGTACAGTCAATTTCATGTTAACGAGGTTCATATTTCTTTTGATATAATACAGGTCCAATAATCTACTTGAAATCTAGTTTTAGGTACTAGATTCTTCATTTTTCATTGAAACATTTATTCTTCTAATATTTGTAATTCATCTTTCAAAATTGAGAGTAGCGTTCATATTTTGTAATTATGTGTACACGTATCATCTCTTGATCACCTTAATCTTGTAGGGATGCATCTGCATAACCACCCCAAGTACTGGCTTGCGCGAGTCGTAATTTGGGGGGCATCCTTCTCGCTCGGGGCAAAGTGTATAACGCTGAAGCAGGGTAGTCATGAAAAGAAACATTCGGATCTTTGCCAGCTGTAATCCAATACATACTCTTTTACCAGCTCCAAATGGCCACTCTTAAAAATTATTACTTGGATTTCCTTATATTGAGAAATTGTACTACTCATTTTAAGTCGAAAATTACTTAAGTAATCTTGAACTACTGAATAATTTTTAAGTAATTTTTAAGTAATTCATTTATGGTGAATTTACTAATGCAAGGAGAGAAATTGAAATACTTACTGTAGTAATTGTAATACTCATTTACATAATTAAGCAATTAAAAAACTAAAAATGACAATATAAGTTAAACCTAAGTAAAATGAAGTAAAACTAAGTATTTGACTTTAAGTAATTTTTATACTTGGGAAATACTCAAGTAATTCATTTTTAAGAGTGGCATCAAACTGCAAAGTACAAATTCAAAGTCCAAGCAACATGTCATCATGGAATACCATGGCCCTCTCTTCTTGCATCATAGATCGCCATGGAAAGTATAGACCACTTTCGATTTAGAATTGATGGAATCGACGGACAAATCAAATTCGTTTTGACAAACACGTGATTTAAACGTCACATCTCAAAAGAAATTCTCAAAGAACTTCATGTGCAATAAACAATTTCTGATCGCAAAAGGTCCTTGCAAAATCTTAAGTATTCACTTATATTTCAATATTTTCTGATTGTTCCTACGATGTTGAATTCTTATAACATTAGACATAAACATTTTATAAAATACTAGCGACTCAACACAGACAGGTTTTTAGATGCGATGTGCATCAGAATGGGAACATGTCTAATTAGTATAATATCAACGTTTTTCTTCCATGTGTACACTACGTCGTCTGAGCTGGAGATATTGCACTAATTGTATTACACAGTCATATTGTTCACATTGGCGTTTGTTTAAATAATTTATCAATTAAGATGATTTACTTTTAAGAGTAAATCCTAAAGTTTTTGCACTGGGTCCCATGGTAGCTATACCCTCGTTTATTACTCTATGGGTTTCAAACTGAAAGCTTCGAAATACCAATGAGCATACACAGGGTGTCAAATAAGTCCCGTCCCCCCTCTACAGCCAAAACCAAGATATTTGGTACCAAGTGTGATGTATCATTGGAAAGGTCTTCCAAAGTTATGTTGATTAGCATATATCCAACACATGTCAATCAATCTCACAAATTCTTACATTGTATCAATTGAGGTGACCATAGGCCTAGAAACATGGCAATTTGGCGTATTTGGCAGGATTTTAAGAATCGGGTATAAGAAAGGTCAAAGGACCAAAATATGACTAAATATGTACATGGCAATGAATTTAACCAATTTCTGGATAGGGTTAGATGTGTAGAAAAAAGAGGTGCAAGGAAAGTGGTGAAAACCTTTTTTTAACAAGTGGGAGGCGAAAAAGATTAACTTTTTGACAAATTTCTGAGGCCATATCCTTGTCATCTTGACGCAAAAAAGCTGCTTAAAGAGGGTACGTTAACTATAAAGGACATCATAAAAATATAGGTAAATTTCATCCAAAATACTTGAGAGTTGGTGAGTTAACATAACTTTTGATGATCTTTCCAATGGTATATCACACTAGGTACCGTCTATTAAGGTGTTAGCTGTAGCAGGGGGACGGGACTTATTTGACACCCTGTATAACTTTAAAAAATGACGATGGATAAAGGGTAACACATCAAACTCACTATTTCATCTCGTCGGCTGGTATCAAGTCGCCTTTTGAGTCAAGGAATCTCTCGGGTTTAAACGTGTAGGGATCTTGAAAGAATCGCTCATCGTGATGAAGTCCATACAGGTTTGGCCAAATTTAAAAGTCAAATTGAAATGCAATCTAATATAATTTACTCGAACAGGTGAAAAGTTGCATCTGTCTTAGATATTTTAATTGGCCTTCCTAGAGGTTTTTCAGCATTTGCCTAATATTCATTGTAGACGTTTTCCTGGTCCCAAGATCATGATTATATACCAATAAGATTGATTCTCAAGTTATCAAATTACTGTAGATGAAGAAAAACAAAGACGGGCCTTGCTTATGAAAAAGTGGAAAGATTTCGTCCGGGAAATGTTTACACAATCCCGGATGCTCTCTCGTGAAATCACTTAAAAGATACTAAGGTATGTCTCAGACATTTTTCATTGCCATCTTACTTGGGTGCCTTTAGGTATGAAGTACCCCCTCAATGTTACGTCCTTCAGCGTTTCGTGCGGTACAGCAAGTGCGACCTCCGACATATAACGAAGTGACTCCAATATGAACGCCTCCATGTAAGGCATTGAGTGTCGATCCTCATACCTTGGCAATCTAAATGTCATATTCGATAGTTTGAAGACATATAATACAAGAACAACCCCATCTTAGTTAAGCAATCTGAAGTCTCATTTCAGATAACGAGTTTATATTTGTTAGTTGTTTAACCCTAATGTGTACAGGGGGGAGGTCCCCCTTTGGATTTTCCCCCGATACTTCTCAGAAACGAAAAACTATTTTTTTTGCAAAAATCGAGGTTATCAGGGCCTTGGCTGTGTTAGGATGGTGGGAACTTTGGATTAATTCCAGGAATTGCTTGAAAATCACACCATCTCTATGGTTTCATAGAATAAAAAAATATAAGCTGGTTCTCACTACTTTCTTCTGGATATAGACCATATAGTACAGTAAAAACCCTTACAAATTAGCCATATTAAAAGATAATCTGACTTTAATTGACTGAGATACGAAGTTTTCAATATTATATTGTGGTCCTCGACTCACGTTTCGATCCAAATAATTTGAGTAAAAAATTGTTTTTTTCCTAGAACTAGTGATACTAACTTTTTTTAACATGTTTGTCAGTGTCTGCAAAACAATATAATGACCATATCTTTATTTGTTTTGTAGAAATGATATTTTTATGTCTCTCCTACCCCAAGATTTTTCCGTTTTGCGGCTGTTTTTAGTCATTTTTCCATCTCAATATGCATATAATTTACAAACTTGAGATTATGCATGTATATACAGGGCGTATAAAAAAAACGCAACAAGTAGTTATCTCGTAAAATCACAAAACTAGTGATGACTCTGCTCCAAGTTTTAGATATTGCAAAAATCAGTACAAGGAGTAAGTGCCAATGGAAGTTTCCCTGACTTGAATTGTTGTGACTTTTTCTTTTGGAGCTATCTCAGGAGCATCTGTGCTAACAATTCCTCCACCAGATATTGCAAAACCTCAAGAAAGAATTGCCCATGGGCTGCTTTTCTCTGCTTTAACCCACAGATGACTCAGGGCTGAACCATGCATGACATGGACAGATGAGCGCATCTTTATGTCCAAGGAAGTGGTGGCAATTTGGAGGGGTTATACGATGTATTCTTGCAAGAGTATGAGTATGAACACTTTACTGTCTGTGCCACACCTGTCACACCTTCTTTCAATAGCCCCTATGCCCCTTGTACTGACTTTTGCAATGTTTAAAACTTAGGTCCGAGCTGAATTTTGCCCCACTTTGCAAAATTAATGATTATTCGGCCAATCATGACTCCCTGTGAATGAATGATATTCCATTGCAAAGAGGAGTAATTTGGCTTTTTGGTACATTGAATGAAAAGGATTCAGTCAGCATTGGTTTTATGTATTCTTCCAATATTGCATCGGGCTCCGTACACTGACTTTTGCGATGTTTATAACTTGGTCCCAAGCTAATTTTGGCCCATTTTGCAAATGGAATGATTACTCGCTCAACCATGACCAAATATCAATGAATGATATATCATTGTAAAGAGGAGACAGGTGGCTTTATGGTGCATTGAATGAAATCAATGCTGTTATCACTGGTTTTGTGCTTTTCCGAGATAACAATCTGTTGCGTTTTTTTGATTCGCACTGTATATCAAAAGGTTTTATTTTTATTTACTTTAGGAATTATGTAACAAACAAGTCGGTAAGAGTAAATTGTATTTAAAGTTTTAATCTTTGAGAAAAAAATTATTTATTTTAAAATAACATGTGATTCTATGTAAAATTTTGATTGTGTACAAGTAGAAACAAATGGCATCTATAATAAGAAGCAAAATAAACCATGAAAATATGTCAATGTTGCAACTTCTGGCTCAAATACACTTATTTCCAACTCGCGACATTGCATTTTCGCTAGCCGATATGCACTAAAAACAAATTTTCTCAGCTAAAACCAATGTGCAATTTTTTACACAATATTATAGTCAGGGGTATGTCCTATGAGATTATTCAAAAAAATCTATTCAGTGTGCGAAAAAGCTAGATATGTAGTACTAGTACTATACACATTTTCTGGGGAATTTAGTGACTTGACCCTTAACAAATATTTCAAAGGGGGACGTGTTTCTACCTGTAGCAAAACCTTTTGTGTTTTTCAGGTCATATTTTGAGAGGGACCCGGAATACCTATTTCAGCAAGTAAGTTTAATTGTTATAAAAATTTGCATTTTTTGCTTTACTCAACTAATTTAAATTGTACAATTTTATATTTTTCAACACTTGATAATTTGACTGATAAACCCTTCTATAGGTATCTACATTGCGAGCCTTGTAAATGAAATGCTAGATAATTTAATTGTAAATAGACAGAAAAATAAAAATTCTGTGATGAATATTTAACAGACTAAATACGTAGTACATGGATATATACCTTTGTCCTAACACTGTTTCTATTTCGCCTTGCAAATTCTGTTGCACTTTCGGATAATCTACTATTAATGCAATCATCGATTTTATTTGTGTTGATGTTGTCACTGTTCCTCCGATAGTCAGATCGTTGCTCATGCCTTTAATAAAGGATTTGTCCAAATGTTCGCTGTTGGAATTAATGGCATCAAATAAACCAGTAACATTTGACTTCTCCACATTCGACTACAATAAAACCTTTTTTATAAGTGGATAATCGTCAAATATATTTTAGGAAACTAAAGAGCTTTTAGGTAAGAGCTTTTCACTCCAGAGCTTTTAAATCAGAGGATAGCTGTTTATCTTGTCAAAGGGAACTGTAAACAATGAGCTGTAACAAGATATTATTGAATCATATACGGCTAATATTATCAGGCAACTATGGGATTACATTCCATTTTAGAGTGTAGATACACATTTATTGTATTAAGACCTAAATGCAGGTTTTGCTGTACATTGGGGTGTTTGCTGTTTGACACACTGTATATATTTGGAAATGTTGTGTTAAAGACTGAATAGAACATCTTATTTTTTTGGACTTAATACATACCATGGATCTCTGGAAAATTTCCGATTCCATTTGTCGCAATGCGTCGATTGCATCATTGAAACCTCGAGTGGCCTTGTTGGGGAGGTTTCTTAACCAAGGAAGTACGTCGAGATATGACGTATCAACTCCGAACGCAAGGGGGAACCGTTTTTCGGCCAGTTTAATCTTCTGGTGTAACGGATCATTGGCGCTCAGTTTCACACCCATTGACTGAAATTTTAAAAATACGTTTAATAGACGTAGTACATAGCAGTGGCAAAGGAATAATTTACGCCAATTATAAAAAAAATATTTTTTTCTGCGTTCTTTAATCATATTTTCTCATTGTGCATGAATTTCGAGCACACTAGCATAAAGAAATTTTTTTGGACATCATATGATAAACTCGATTTTTCCAATAGTACTCTTTTGCAAGGTTTTTCTACATCTGTTATTTATCTAACCCTGGCTTCAAATAAACGACACTCTTAAAAAATCAAATTCATAAAATATCGAAAGTTACCTTGTTTCTAATAAAAATGCAACTCATTATTGTTCCATTCGGTAAATAATCATTTAAAAGAATGAATTTCTGAAAGTATAGAGCCAAAATCAGGGTTGTCTCATCTTTTAAAACACATTGACATTTATTTATTTATTCATTTAATGGACACCTCTACTCACAACTATTATGATAATTCCAATAACCATGTCGTTGATTGCGTCATACGGATCGAATGCTTCTGTTCTATCGAATTTATCAAGGCATTCGCAAATCTCTTCCATACTGATACGCTCAATGTTTGTCACTCCTTCTCCGTACTGCTTCAAACCCTTTTGTGCAATCTTCCGCATTGTCTTCCATTCTTCATCAGGGTTCCTTGCATAATAAAGTAATAGTAGCAATAAAAGGACAATAATTTCATTTCAAAAGGAAATATTTAGTGGAATATTGGGCCGAAGGTCCAACTTTTCCCTATTTTACCCGCAGAAATGACGTTATTAGTATTATTACCACCGTTTATGCCCTTGGCTGCGATAGCAGAAACTGGTCAGGACAATATAGTAAAATACCTTCTAAACTAGTACAATATCTCAGGCCAGATGTGAAAGAAATGATGGTCCCCGAGGAATTATGGTCCCCCTTCTTATCGCCCCTTACCACTTACTGGCCCTTATTGTGTATTAGCGTAAGTAAGATAATAAGGGAAAGAGTTCACCATATAAATCAATGGAGAGTAGGACTATAATTTTGATAGAACCTCCTACCCTTTTACACCGACAGGGTCGCAATAATCATTAATAGTGAACACACGTCTCCGGTTTCTTTCGCCTGAATCACCACGAGTCATTAAAGGAGAGTGTATACACGTCGCACGAAACTGGGGACAATTAGCGTAACATTTTGGCGTCAAAATACCAAAAAAAAACAATGGGCGCAAATAGCAACGTCAAAAACGACAAGTGGTGTTACATTTTGCCAAGTTTAGTCAACCTAAAAATAGGTTGCTTTATTCTTATTCAATCCTGGTAAAATTCACAATGCAACAAGATCTCGAGGACAATATTTCTAAAATGTTTTTGATTTTTGTAAAAAAGGTTGGGAACTTAACTCGGGGCGTTTGTAAAAATTGATATGCATGGAATTTTTGGTAAAAAATCGATGCGTTACATTTTTTCAATCTTCTAAACTTTACGCAATTTTGAAAATTTTAAAAGCGTTCATAAAAGACGATTTTAACTGTAGCCGTTATGCAATTGTGACATGTGTCATAAATGCACATGTTCAATTGAATAAAATGTGAAATTTTAGTAAAATTCTGATCAGTATTTCAAAAGTTATCCCGATTTCAACGAACCGTGTAAGCGTGAAATGTTACGTCTTACCGCGTATATGACGTTGTCGGGGTACATTTAACTTTCAAAATATGGTAGATCCCATCAAACTTTTCAAGGAAAAGTAAAGTAAAAATACTTCAAAATGATATCTAAAGCAAATAGTTAGCTATTTAGATAAGGTAGATATTTAACGCTTAAAGATGAGATTAGCCCGTATCTCCCAAATTGTCCCGAGGTCCATGCACGTCATAATAACATTTTTCAGGAGTAAGTGTTTGGTCATCCTGGGTCCAGAAGAAGTGAGTACTCCTTCAATTCTTTTATATTCTATCGTATTCGGGGATTCCCAATTATCCTGCAATCTCCTGCATCACCTCAAATTAAATTGCAGGATGTGATCACGTGAACAATCATGAGCCCGTGCTTTTTAAATTTGAAATCGAGGGAATGGCTAGAACATCATCATTTTAAACCTGCGGTAATACTATTGAAGTTACTCGATCAATACTTGGAGAGAATATTCATAAAACTACAGAGAAAACATTTGAAGATCTATTTCAATGGCAAATGAGGCCTGGTAATAAAATTCATTTCGAACGTGCCAATACTGTGCTGGGTCTTAAGAGAAAATAATGACCCCAGGCCTGTCGGTCCTTGGCCTTTCACCTATGACAAGGAAGAACGATTTATCCATAATGCCTGGGTCTCATTTGCGCCGATCCATCGGCGCCTGGCCGATTGAGTGTTTTGCTCAATATTGTATTCAATTTTGAACAAATTACACAATCGGCCGGGCGCCGTGGTGAAAATCAGAGCTAATGTGACCAAGGCATCATATTTGCTCAAATCCATCGGCCGGCGCCTGGCCGATGCATTTTTGAACAAAATACTCGATCGGATCATAAGCGCCGGGCGTTGACTCGGGGAAATGTAACTCATGCACAGAATAGAGTAGTGTAGTGTAGTCCTTACCTAAAGCCAATATTTTTAAAGCCGTCGGTGTACATATTACTTCGCGCTGACTGGACTCGCCCACCATAATCACCCCCGCTCGTAACCAAGACATCATAAATGGCATCTCCATTCACCACAACAACTTCTTCAGTAAACAGATTCAATTTGTAGACATCTCCGAACTCCTTTTGCCAATCACACAGTTTTAGGAACATCTTTTTGTCAAACACTTGGATGAGGTTTCCAAAAACTGGCAGCCCGCGAGGTGGTCCAGGGGCTGTACATTTCTTAACCCTAGAAGCCCTAAGGGGGGGTCAAAATGACCCCCCCTGTTAAGTTTTTTCCCCATAACTTTTTATTGGCATCTGGTAGGGTCTTCAAATTTTCAGTAGCTGAAGCTACAGATATAAGACATGTTTTCTGAAAAAATCAGCAGAATTGTACATAGGGTTACTGATTTATTATGATGTAATCATCAGCTGCAATAGACACAATCGGAAAAAGCTAGCACTATTTCTACCATACATGTTATCTTTTGAATAAGATTACACAATCTTCCATCATCATAGTTGTTAAAGTTATTACACCAAGTTGTAGATAATTGAATGAAGTATATTTTGGTAAAAGTTTGAACATCCTAGCTTTACTAATTTGTTATTAATCTATTATGATGTAATCATCAGCTCTTATAGACAAAATCAGAAAAAAGCTAGCACTAATTCTACCCTACGTGTTGTCTTAAGAATAAAATTACGCAATCTCACATCATCGTAGTTGTTAAAACTTTTATACCAAGTTGTAGATAATTGAATGAAGTATATGTGGAAAAAGTTTGAACATCTTAGCTCTACTAATAAAAATTTTACAAGGGGGGTGCCCTTTTGACCCCCCCTTAGGTGTTCGTGTGACTATTTTTACCTTAGGGCTTCTAGGGTTAAGACTGTACCTGGTCAAGGCGTATATAAAGAGTAAAACAGAAACAAATAATGCAAAAATTTCGGATTGCATAATGGCTAAATCCATCCTAACTGTTGATTACTGCGTGATTTGTCTGCAAAAGCCTAATTAGTTATCAAGTAGGCCTACGTCACAGGGAACTTTAGTCAATTTGCACTAAGTCACGCCCGGTGATCGTACAAAATGGATGGAGGGGGGAGTAGGCGATGTCTACAAGAAAATTTAACAAATCTGGAAGATTTATTTTTTCAAGGCGCACTGCATGGCAAAATATTTCGATTATTTTTTTTATGACGCATGGAAACTAACTTTAAAAAGTGAGTTACGTCATTAGTGTTGTGATAATAACGTCCGTTATACCTATTTATTACCAATTACAGGTCGTGTAGACCTTTGTTGCCTGATTTATAGCAAACAAATTGACCTTCGCACGTTAGTGATGATGCGCCTTTTTAATAGATGTCATATCTTAGAAGTGTATCAGTTCAAAAAATACTAGGAGACTTAACATATTTTGGCATGTTCTAAAAGGTGTACTGGCGTCAGATTAGTGGACTTTGTGGATCCAGCCATCATTTAGTCATAATGTGATTAAAATGACTAAAAGGTGGCCCCATATAAAGGCCACTGTTTAGATATTTTGGCAGATGAATGACGAAAAAGTGGCCCCAAACTGGAGTATAAAGGGTTAAATAAAAGGATGGTACTAAGTGATCAAACCCACCCGATGTGCATGCTCAACTTAGTCCTATTTCCATGTCAATGGGGACAATCTAGCTGACAATCTATACCTAACACTCATCTGCATTCCTCCTAAATATCTTGTATATGTTGACTGTATATGTTGAAAAGTGAAGCTCCTCATGTTATAATGTTGAACCCCTGGACTTGAAAACCAACCTCAACTCAATTTAATTTCGAGAGGGGGAGGGGTAAGCACTGGTAAATCAATTGATTAAATTAACTCACTTATCCCAACAACTATCAATTTGTAAGGACAGATGTGAATTCCAATTGATATAAAATTTTCCCTTACTGAAAATTTCATTGAAGTTTGCAGTCAGTAGTTTTAATCCTTCGGCATATATTTCATAAAAATGAAAAAGTGTATAGTTGTATTATATTTTTGTAAAAATGACCAAGATAACCAATTCATTTTTTGTAAGTATATCAGAATTATTTTTCATTCCATTAAAAGGGTCGACTCTTAATGGCATGGTAAATATGGAGGTAGGTGCGGAAAGTAACTTTTATGTGCTACTTTTCCCAGCCCCATGTAATTTGAATGGTAGCTTTTATCAAATTGCTACAAGTTTCGCTTATTCTTATAAAGACTAAATCTGAAAAATCTGTTTTCTCTGAAGCCCATGTGATTTGAGTTTTATTGTTAATAGCAATTATTACTCCATCATTTTATTTTTATTTTCACTTAATCAAAAATTTAGGGCAAATGTTCATCTGATAATATTGATAATTATCAAAACTATGGCTAATAGTTCTGATTATAGTAACATCAAAACTATAACTTTTATAAGTTACAATTATTTGTCTTGAGCAAATATTTCATAGAAAAGGGCCTGTGTGAGATTAGCATTATCTGATAATTTATAAAAACAATTGATAATTATCAAATTTATCACTTATTTTGGTAATTTAACTTTTATCAAAAATATCACTTTTATCTATTATATATTTTTGAGCTGGCTGGTAACAATAACATTTTATAGTATCACATATTGATAAAGGTCAGTTTCTGTACATAAATGAAAATCCATAAGGGTCGAATTGCATGTGGTGATAATACCTCTACATATTTTATCTCTAAAATCTCAAATTTACACGCTTTTTAATTTTTATGGAAATGGCCACACTTGATATCAAATTCACACAATGGGTACTTATGAACACGGTGAATATAGTTCAGTAGTTAGCATGTAGAAAAGCAGTTTTTCCTGCTGCTGGATTTCATGAAGTTTTTGTGATATAGCGATGCTCAATTGGATTATCTGGCATTCATGGTTACTGAGTTATACATGAACATACAGGGATCATAGACATTCACTTGTTTGCTTC